CTCCTCCTCCTCCTCCTCCTCCTCCTCCTCCTCCTCCTCCTCCTCCTCCTCCTCCTCCTCCTCCTCCTCCTCCTCCTCCTACCTCCTCCCTCCTCCTCCTCCTCCTCCTCCTCCTCCTCCTCCTCCTCCTCCTCCTCCTCCTCCTCCTCCTCCTGGACACAACCTGGGACGCTACAGAGTCTACAGCACCTCAGCCTTCGAGAAAACGACGTGGCTAGGCGCACCTTGCAGCCGCCAGTAGCCACGCCCCGCGGACGACGGACCGCGGGGCACTGCAGGATCGACGCGATCCTGCGCGATGACCCGATCGACCTTCCCATCGAGTCTGAATTCACACATGTTCGCAGGCCGAATGAGCACCTTCCTCCCGTGGTCGGAAGCCTGAGGAGGACACGCCCCGCACAAGCTCGCAACGCGACAGGAACGCGAAACAAGCACAGCGCAGGCATCCAACCACGAGAGGGCCTTCTTGCAACTGGAGCCGAACAAGGGCATGCAATTTGGGCCCCACCCCCAACTTCGCTTGCGCGGCAACAACCCGACTAACCACATCGTCGGGAGTCGGGTCACTGACTGACCAGCTGCAAACGAGGAACTGGCGGCTTCCCACGGTTGCGCCTCTCTGGGCGCCCGCAGTCCGACAGCTCACCCCCGAGACGCCCAACCCAAGATCCCCACACCTCGAGGACTCTCTGACGGGCCTGCAGCTGAGAGAGAGCGCCTGGGTCGAGACGGGCGAAAGCTGCAGCTCTCTTTGCCCCCTTCATCCACCCTAGCATTACCGCATGTATGGCGCGCCGTGGCGCGTCCAAACTGGACGCCAACCACTGTCGCATGCCCCTTGATTTTGCCAGTTACAAAGGCCCCACCCCCGTCTCCAACCAGCCTCCAAAACTGCCTCCAAAGGTGCGCACGCAGTGATACACGCGCACAAGTGGCCCCACGGCCACGCCCCAGGAACCCTTCAGCCACAAAAGCCGGGTCGGTGAGGAGGCGGACAGGCGGAGACGCAAAGCAAAGAGCATGGATAACAGCCACGAGCTCGGCAGCGCCGATGCAATGCATGGGGCCCAAGACGGGGCCCGAGCAGAATGACAACGCCTCGCAACGGTCATGGCGAAGCGCAATGCACCCCCACCCAGCACTGGCCAGACTGGGATACTCAGCCTCACAAACAGAGGCGCCGGCGTAGATGCCCCCTGAAAACTCGGAAGGGCCTCCTAACCCCAGCAGATGGGAGTCCCAGTAGGCGGCCTTCTCAAGACAGGGAATGGAACTGGCCATCTTTCGGCGAAAAGCTCGGCGAGCATCGAAGACGCTGCGGCGGCGGCGGCGCCAGCCAAAGAGGGTGGCTGCCCGTCTAAGCTGCTGAGCCGCGAACAGAAACAATGTCTGTGCAGGAGCGTGCCCTCGGAAGTGGGGCGCAACAGGCAGGCTGGCGCGGTGCCATGGCCCGTCGCCTACTGCCTCTTCCGGGGCCACTGCCCTCCACGACGGTGCTGCCACGGCGCCATCTTCGCTGTGAGGCCAGCCTACTCTCGTCGCACAGTAGAGCCTTCAGTGGGCCAGTGACACACCATTGAAGAACTCATCTGGCTCGAGATGGTCTGCAATCTTGAACGCCTGCGAAGACTCAACCGCTCGATGCACAAGCTCCTGGATGGCGTTGGGCCAGAAGTCGGACGGGGTGGCGTCAGCCCCATCGGGCCACGTCCAAGACGTAGCCGACGCAGCAGTGATACCCACGCGCCTGAGAGAAGCCCACAGAGCACAAAAGGGGCCCCTAATGGAGACCAGGGGCGCTGCAACGTAGAGAGGGGCCACTGGGCCTCACGGAGCCCAAAGTCAAGAGCCTCCAAAGACATCCAAAGGTGCCGAGGAGCACGCCGCAAGGCCTCGACGGGCAACCAGGTGGCCCGGTAGATGGGGCCGAGGCAGGGAACAGGCGCAAGCATCAGGGCCAGGGCACGAGATGCCCCGTCCCGGCGCTGGCCCTGCAGTCTGCCAGCCGCTTCTCTAAGGAATCCCCAGCCCCTTGCAGCTAGCGCCCATAACCGAAGCACCGAACGAGACTGGGGGGCCCAAGGCAGCACGAGACATTCGCCCGCGCACGCGGCGATGAGGCTCAGAGCCCCTCAGAAAACCCACGCGCGCCATTCTAGGCCG